TTCAGCAGGGAGTGCATTTAGGTTCTTGCCTTGCTGCTGATCAGATTCTTAAACCTGCTCCCTTGCTACTGGATGGTCTGGGCCTTTGTGCAATTAGACTTCTCCCCAGACAGGACAATGATGGTATTTTGGCACTGGGTAAAACCACTTGAGCACTTGGCATGTCCCTCCTGTTTTTGAAGGTGCAGACTCCAGAATGTTACTGGCAGCTTTGCCGCCTCTGTAATCTTCACTCCAGGGGGTGGGCTTGTGGGAGTGCATGGAGATGCATGTGGCTACATGCTCTGGAGTTGGGTATAAGAGTGAATTCCTGGCCCTGGACATCTTTCCCAGGAGACAACGGTGGCTGCAGTGTGTTAGTACTGGGTCCTCTAGTTGAGCTTGTCGGTGCAGGTGGCAGTGGCAGGGCACTGGCCATGACTATAAGGAGCTGGGGTTGGAGATGCTTCCTTTCCTTTCTCATGTCCTTGTGACAAGGTATTTAGCAGAATTTGCAGATTTGTTGGAATCTGACAGGGCTGCATGGTGAGTGCTTCTGCTTTGGGCTTGAACATGCAACCTCTGGGCTAACAACTGCACACCACCCTAGCTTGGAGATGGTGAAACTGACTCAAACATGGGTTTTCAGTCGGTATCACTGAGCTTTTGCTGGGTGGGAAAGGCACGCATACAGTACCTAGCTATAGTGACATCTTGGGCCAGCTGCCCAGCCAGCCTGCTCTACCTATGGATAAAGGCAGTGTGCCTAGTATCTAGCAGGAGGTGAGGAAGATCTGTTTTGTCAGGCTAATGATCATCTTACCATGTTCTGCATGATGAAGAGTGACAGCCTTGGTAATTCTAGGTGCCTATCGGAACTACAGATGTTATTCTTTCACTGATGAGTTTGGTAATTCTTTTTAATCAGGTTAAGAGCTCTTTGCCTCAGTACTGTCCTGGTGTGAGGAGTCCTGCAGGTTAATTACTGGCTGCAAAAGGGTGCATTTCCTCTTAGCCGCAAAGGACTTGTGTTCAATTTCAGTGAGTGGCCCTTTGTTCAAGGAACCTGGAGGGGGAAGGGGGCAAAAGCACCTGCATGGCATCCTGAATCATGAATCCTTGCTGGAGGTGATCCCAGCACCTAGAGCGCTTCACAAACAGTAATCCACACCCCTTCTCCCCTCCCCTGGGATAAATCACTCAGTGGGTGATGGTCCCTGTGGTAGGATTACTGTGATGAAATGAAGCAGATGCTCTGAGACCTTGTTTTTTTCAGCTTTGCTTTTGATACTGTAGTTGCCTGAGGGACTCTGGCCACTCCAGAGTGACTGATGGGGAGTTGTGGTCAGGCCCCTATACCTCCAGACTTCCAGCTTCTGAAGTGCAGGCTTAATCGTAGAAAGTTAGGGTTGGAAAAGACTTCAGGAGGTCATCTAGTCCAGCCCCCTGCTCAAAGCAGGACCATCTCCAACTAGATATCTCCGCTAAAGCTTTGTCTAGCCAGGTCTTGAAAACCTCCAAGGATGGAGCTTCTACTACCTCTCTGGGTAACCTGTTCCGGTTTTACTACCCTCCTAGTGAGAAAATTCTTCCTAATATCTAACCTAAACTTCCCTTGCTGCAACTTTAAACTGTTGCTCCTTGTTTCTGTCATCTGCCACTACTGAGACCAGTCTAGCTCCATCCGCTTTCAAACCTCACTTCAGGTAGATGTAGACTGCTATTAAGTCCCCTCTGTCTCCTCTTTAGATTAAATAAGCCCTGTTCCTTCCTCATAAGTCATGTCCCCCAGCCCCTGAACCATTTTTGTTGCCCTTGACTGGACTCTTGCCAATTTGTCCACATCCTTTCTGTAGTGGGGGGCCCAGAACTGATGTAGCCTCACCAGCGCTGAAGAGGGGAATAATCACTTCCCTTGACCTGCTGGCACCACATCTACCAATGCAGCACAGTATGTTAACCTTCTTGGCAACAAGGGCACACTGCTGGCTCATATTCAGCTTATTGTCCACTGTAACCCCCAGGTCCTTTTCTGCAGAGCTGCTGCCCAGCCAGTCAGCCCCCAGCCTATACTGGTGCATGGGATTGTTTTGTTCTAAGTGCAGGACTTTTGCACTTGTCCTTGTCGAACCTTGTGAATTTTTTTTTTTCCGGTCCAATCCTCCAATTTGCCTAGGTCACTGAATCTTAGCCCTACCCTCCAGGCTATCTGGTGTCATCTGCAAACTTGCTGAGGGTGCACCATATTCCATCTTCCAGGTCATTGATGAAGATATTGAACAAAGCCAGCCCCAGGACCGACCTCTCGGGCACTCCTGTTGTTACTGGCAGCCAACTAGACATTTAGCAATTGATTACTACTCTCTGAGGTCAATGCTTCAGCCAATTTTCTATCCACCTTACAGTTCATTCATCCAAGCCATACTTCCTTAGGTTGTGTACAAGAATGCTGTGGAAGACCATATCAAAAGCCTTGCTAAAATCAAGGTATACCACATCCACTGGTCAACCTGCACTGTTTGCCATTTTCCAATCATCCAGGAGCTCTCCTGATTGCCATGAGTTTTCAAAGATGGTGACCAATGGCTCTGCAATCACATCAGCCAAGTTCCTTGGCACCCTTGGGTGCATCTCATCTGGACCCATGGACTTGTTCACATCCATCTTTTCTTGGTGGTCCCTAACCTGTTCTTTCATTGCTGAGGGCTGCTCATCTCCTCCCCAAACTGCTGCCTACCATAGTAGTCTGGGAGCTGCCCTTGCCTGTGAAGGCTAAGGCGGAAAAGGCTTTGAGCACTTCAGCCGTTTCTGCATTCTCTGTCACCAGTTGCCTCCCCAATTCAGCAAGGGACCCATGCATTCCCTGATCCTCCTCTTGCTGCTGATTCTTGCAAAAACCCTTCTTGTTACCCTTCACATCCCTTGCTAGCTGCAACTCCAATTGTGCTTTGACCTTCCTGACTTCATCCCTGCATGCCTGAGCAATGCTTAAGGAGAGCCCTTTCGGCTGTCCTCCATTTCTGTGTAGGTCCTGTAGAACTGCATTGCTGGAGGTGGCAAGGTGTTCCTCATGGTGGAGGGGCACTGAGGTGTAAGCCGAGTTCTGGCATCTCTTCCTAGCTTTGCTGCCTGTCTCTGCTAACCCTGATGTTGCCCTTCTCCACAGCAGGGATTGAGGGCTGGCTGTGTGTTGTGTGCTGGCAGGTGCTACATAGAGCAGGGCAGTCTCACTTGCAGAGATGGATACAGCTGGGGCAGTGCCTTTGTACACAACCTGGCTTTCCATGTGGTGGGGTGAAGCAGACAGCCAGCCAATACCAAGGATTATAGTCATCTACATTTTTTTAATCCAAAGAGTAACAGGGCAAAAAACCCCAATAAATAACCTAAACAATGTCAAGTATTCAGTCCTGTCCCCTATGCCTGAGTCAGTGTGTAAGTAAATCCCTGCCAGTGGCTGCACAAAAAGAGCTGGTCCCTTGGCTTTTTCAGGAGGCACCATGGGGGCTGGGGGCACAGCACATATGAGGTCAGGCTCAGCAGAGGGACACCCCCCCCCACCCCCCCACTTCCCAGTTTACCCCACCCTTGCCTAGCTGGGATGTGCCATAAGCTAGGGAGCTGGTCCACTGCTAAGGTGCCCTGGTAGAAGCTGCTCACTGACAGCACTCCAGTCTGCTAGTCCCCAGGAGCTGCCTTTTGAAACTGGCCTTGTTGCTCAAACACTTGGAGCAGTGTAATACATGCAAGAAGATAAACTAAGCTCAGAAGAGAAGGTGCTCTCCCCTGGGCTCATTTGGTCATGGAGCTGCTGGAATGTAGCCCCAGGTCAAGGGGAAGAGAGGAATGGAAGAATGAACAGATGCTGAAGTAGGGTCCAGCTGCAGAGGAGCACTGCTTGTGAGCGCCTAGTCTTAGGAGATTCAACCCTTCATGAGGACAAGGGTCAGGCCACTGAGCCACAGCATGGAACAGCTGCACTCCCCACCCCTCACAAGGGGCTAGTGCACACAGGTGCTGTGCCTATCCAGGTGCTCACACAAAGGTCTCCATTGCAATGGCCCATGGAAGAGGGCAGAGGGGTGCTACAACACAGCAGCATCACAGCTTCTATCTGGGGCAGGAAGCACATGGACTCTTCAGCTGTGGGGAGCCAACAGCAATGGGGGCAGGGCACAGCTCAGCACTACCCCAGGAAGGTGGAGATAAAAACACTTGTGTCCAAATTGAGTGTGGCATGCCACCAGCGGGCAGGGAAGTACAGGACCTGCGGAGGGGAGCACAGGGTAAACAAGAGACAGGGAAGGGTGGCCCTTGTCTGCACTGCTGCAGGCTAGGTGCTATTGTGTTCTAGAGACCTACTACATGGTGCTAGGGGCTAGCAGCATGCTCTGTGTAAGGTGCTTGCCCTGTGTGATGACTCTCTATAAGGGAGAGCTGCTCATTCCAGCTGGAATCCACATAGGGCTAAGTGTGGGATGCATGCATGTGTGCACACACCCACACTTAGCCAGAAGGAATGTGTTCGGGGGGGGTTCTAAGCCCACTTCTGTGCTTGCCTCCCCATACTGCCGCTCCCTTCTGCTCGAGGTCACCAGGCCTGCAGCACAGGCTGGGAGGAGCTGGGCTTACAGCATAGGCCTCACCCCTCCCATTCCCATCAATGTGGTGATGGAGGGTGGGTGGGAGGGTTAAACCCATGCATCAACCAGGCAATCTTTCCCCACCCCCACTGCTCCTGGCATATGCAGACCTGGCACTCAACTTGGGAATGGGTGTTTGGTTGGGTGGGGAGGTTGCCTGGGAGTGGGGGTAAGGCTGACCTCGCCTGGGCGAATGGTGCACTCTAAGGGCCGTGCCTCAGGGGGCAGCCGCGGGTATGTGTCCAGCAGCCAGGACAGCGTCGTCCGGTTGGGGTGGAACTCAGGTGTGTGCTCTGGTGGGTACAGGAACCAGCGCTGAAACGAGAGGGGCTCTCAACAAATGCAGCTCCTCTGCACAACATCTCCACAGGGGTTCGCTCCCCTTCCCTTCTGCCCAGTGCTCCTGAGGGCCAAGGCCAGCAGGATCCACTAGCTAAACTGCCCTCGAGGGATAGGAATTGGGGCTGGCCAATGCCCAAAACTTCCTGTCACAGGGGCCCCCAATATATGCAGCACCTAGCACCCCCTGAGCTGGGATTGAGCTTTGCACCAGACTCTAAGGCACAGTATTACCACCCCCTCCCCCAGCCAGTGTGTACAAGGGGCCAGGTGCATTATGGGGCAATAGCTCCATCCTGTGCACCAGCTGGCATCAGTGGCACCTTGCCCAGCCCAGCCTCACACACTCACCTTCCTGCCAAAGATCACCTCGGAGAACCCAGGGCCATGCCAGTGGAAGGGCACCCCTGAGCCGGAGCCTGTGGACAGACACAGCTCAGAGATGGCAGCAGAGCAGTGGTGCTGCTGGCTGCTCAGCTCCCACAGCCTGCCTTTAGCAACAGCCCCTTGCAGAAACTTGGCTCAGCTCCACCTTTCACTACATCAGCTACACTTCTGCCCCCTTGCCTGGTTCTTACAACTTCTCCTGCCCCCCTCTCCCCCTTAGAGGACCCAGACTTTAGTGTTAGGCACCTAAGATGGCAGCAGACACCTCCTCCCTGCCCACCCCATCCCCCCAACACCCCTTTTCAGCCTAGGGCTGGGGCACCTGCTGAGGGCCTGGAAGGCCCAGGGTCTAGGTCCCTGGGACAGGGGGCTGAATCTGTATTTCCCTGGGTCTGGACCTTCAGTCTGGCTGCTCTAAGCACCAGGTCACAGGCTAAACAGGGTTTAGGAGCAGCCATTCACCCTTCTGTGGGAGCTGGCTACGAGGAGCTACATGTAACCAGAGAAGGATGGGCCCAGCAGCACAGCTTAGTAGGAAGGGCCTTGGCCGGGGAAGGGGTCTGGATTTTAGCTTCAAGGGGAAATTATTGTTTTGCTGCAGGGACTAAACTCAAACACTCAGCCCCTTCCTGGTCAGGGCAGCTTCTCTCTGGCTTGGCCTACTCCTAGCTCCACATAGCTCCCCCTTGTGGCTACCCAGTAAAGATGGAAGCACGGATGGTCACCCCGTGTGCGGAGAGTTCAAACCCCCTCCTAGGGCGAGCCAGGGCCCGACTCTCCTACCCTGAGGCAGGTCGTTCCCTGAGTGGTTTTGTGGCTTTTTTAAAATATGATTTACACTGACCTTCTCCCATTCTGGCCTAAAGTGCCCCACGGGTGGCTCACATCAGCCACCTCAGGGCCACTTGCTTACCCAAAACAGTCAGGTGTGGGCTGGGACCCAAGGAAAGGAAAGGCCCAGCCCGCACCCTCCTCCCAGGCTGGTACTGACCAGCAATGCCGAAGCTGTAGGCACTGGTGGTGCCGGGCAAGCGGAAGGGCGGGGGCACGTACTTCTGGAAGAGGGAGCCCCACTCGGTGAAGTTGTTGTCCCCGAAGAAGTAGAGTGTGTCTGGGCGGGAACAGGCACGTATTAGGCTGTAGGCAGTGAGTGCAGCCCCTGAGCGAGGAGCGGGAGGCCCCTACTCACCGCTGCCCAGCAGGTCCAGGTCCTGAGGCTCCAGCAGGTGCTCCACATACTCCTGGAAGGGCATGTCCACTGGGGGCAGGGGAGTGCAGGGCAGCTGGGCCAGGGCCCCGGCTCCTAGCCAGGGATTGCCTGGGCCAGAGCAACAGCCAGCCACCCTCCCCCACCTTTAGGGAGCACAGCCTGCACCACCCCCTGCCCTGGGCCCGGGACCCTCTGCAACGGGGACACAGGCCTGGCCTGCCCAGGCTGATGGAGCAGCACCAAGCTGGCCTCTGCCTAAGCCCAAACCCATCGTCTTCACCGGGGCCTCCTGCCCTGCAGCACTGAGGCAGCAGTGGTGGGGCGGGCGGAGCAGGAGCAGGTCCCGCGTGCCTGCCCCGGCCCCCGACCTCACCTTTGCGGTACGAGTAGGTGTTGGCGGTGCTGAGCCGCACCCGGCGCTGCCCGAAGGCCGCCAGCAGCCGGTCCCTGGTGCACAGCGCCCGGAAAGCCTGCGGGCAGCACGGCG